TAAACGTGTGAAGGGAAGACCAGGTGGCTGCCCTGCAAATTTCTGTGATCGGTACCTGGGCACCAAAGGCCTCCGAGGATGCCTGTGCCCTGGTGGAGTGTGCCTTCACCCTGGGTGGGGTTTTACCAGCCAGGTGATAGCATTCTGTGATGCATTGCACCACCCATCTTGATAGCCTTTGCATGGATATAGGCGACCCTTTGACCCTGTCACTGAATGCAATAAACAACTGTTGTGATTTACGGAACGGCTTGGTCCTATCAATGTAGAGCGCCAGCGCCCACTTGGCGTCCAGGGAGTGCAGAACCCGCTCTTTAGAGGAGGTGTGAGGTTTTGGGAAAAAAAACGGGAGATAAATCTCCTGGGACAGGTGGAATGGTGATACCACCTTCGGAGGAAGGCTGGATGAGGCCGTAGCCTTACATTGTTATGGGAAAAAACAAGGTAGGGCGGGTCTACAGTTAGTGCCCTTAGTTCCGACACCCTTCAAGCCGATGTAATGGCCACGATGGAAGCAACATACAATGAAAGGTGCAGCAGGGAACACGTGGCCAGTGGTTCAAAGGGGGGTAACATAAGCCTGTGGAGGACCACATTGAGGTCCCAGGCGGGAAGCGGGGCCCTCACCGAGGGATACAATTTTTCTAAACCAGTAAGAAACCTTTTAACCACCGGGTTAGAAAAGAGGGAAACTCCTGTCGTACCAGCATGGAAGGTGGAGAGAGATGCCACATGGACTTTGATAGAGGAAAAGGACAGGCCACTAGACCGAAGCTGGAAAAGATAGTCAAGGATAGTCAGAATAGGAGCCAAGGGTGGGTGTATTGCTCTCCGTGACGCCCAAGACGAGAAGCGCCGCCACTTGGCAGCGTACGACCGTCTAGTAGAGGGTTTCCTGCTGCTGAGGAGCACCATCTGAACCCCTCCTGGGAACATTCCTTTTCAGGTTGGTTCAACCACGGATAAACCAGGCCATTAGGTGGAGAGACCTGAGATCCGGGTGAACCATGGTCCCCTTGTCCCAAGGCTGAGTTAGCAGGTCCTGGACTGGAGGGAGTGCTATTGGGTCTTGGGTAAGCATGTCCACTAGGATGGGGAACCAGAATTGCCTGGGCCACTTGGGGGCTATGAGAATGATCGTGGACCGAAATGTCCTTGCTCTGGTCAACACTCTGGAAATTAGGGGGAACGAGGGAAAAGCATAGAGAATGCCCTCTGGCCACACAGCCGTCAGGGCATCCCCCAGGGAATATTTCCCCAGCCCCAGCAGGGAACAGTAGCTCCGGCACTTGGCATTGTGTGCCGAGGCAAACAGGTCTAGGAGGGGATAACCCCACCTGCGGAAAACCTGAGGCAGGACAGAGTCCTTGAGCGACCACTCGTGGGCTCCGAAGGATCTGCTCAGAGTGTCTGCTAGCAGATTCTTGCACCCCGGGAGGTACTGCACCTGCGGCGTAATGTTGTGTTTCAAACACAGGTGCCAAAGGAGCAGAGCCTCTCGGCAGAGGGGAGGTGACCGAGCTCCCCCCTGCTTGTTGAGGTAGAAAACAGCCGCTGTATTGTCTAAAAGAACCAGGATCGAGCAGTGAGAAAGCCTTGGCAGAAAAGCTTCGCAGGCTCTTCTCACCACTCGCAGTTCCCGGACGTTTATGTGGAGGGTCCGTTCTGCAGAGGACCTGAGACCTGTGTTGCCCCAGGTGTGCTCCCCAACCCAGGTCGGAGGCATCTGTGACCAGTGTAAGGGAGGGGGGAGGGGCGTTGAAAGGAACCCCACTGCACACCACAGCTTCCTGGGTCCACCACTGCAGGGAGGTTAGGACCTCTGGGGGCACTGTCAGGATCGAGTCCCAAAGACCCCGGGACTGACTGAAGGCCTTCGCCAACCAAGCGTGCAGAGGTCTCATCCTCATTCTGGCATGGCGTACCGTGTATGTGCACGCAGCCATGTGACCCAGGAGCCTCGAGCAGACCCGAGGGGTCGTGATAGGGGACCGGGTTAACCCAGAAATCAGCTCCACTATGGAGAGGAACCTGCTCCTGAGGAGGAAAGCTTTTGACTCTTGCCACCCTTGCATCCAGGAGGGCTCCCACGAATTCTATCTGCTGGGAGGGGGTCAGGGATGACTTTTCGTCGTTTATCATGAGCCCTAGCTTTAGGAAGAGGGCTCTTGTGAGTGCCACGTGAGCTTCTACCTGCTCGTACGAGCGACCTCGGATCAGCCAATCGTCGAGGTACGGAAACACATGCACCCCTTATTTGCGGAGAAACGTGGCAACCACTGCCATACATTTTGTGAACACCCTTGGTGCAGTACATAAACCAAAGGGGAGCACCGTAAACTGAAATTGGTATTGGCCCACCATAAACCTGAGGAACCTCCTGTGGCTGGATCTGATCGCCACATGGAAGTACCGTCCTTTAGGTCGAGAGTCGCGTACCAGTCTCCTAACTGTAGCACTGGGATGACCGAGGCCAAGGTCACCATTCTGAACCTGTGTTTTATGACTGCCCTGTTTAAATTTCGGAGGTCCAAGATGGGACAGACTCCTCCCTTCGGTTTGGGAACAACAAAATAACGGGAATAGAATCCCCTTCCTCGCAGATGTGGAAGAACCTCCTCTATTGCCCCTTTTTCAAGGAGCGCAGACACCTCCTGGCACAGGATGTGTTCATGAGGGGTGTCCCAAGAAGGGGGTTTTGAAGGTGATGGGCCCAGGAATGGGATAGTATAGCCTCCATTTACTATGTTCAGAACCCAGGCATCCAATGTTATTAGAGCCTATTCATGGGCAAAAAGGGATAGCCTGGCCCCAAACGGGGGGCCAGGATGGGAGACTGATATGGGACTCTCAAAAAGGACGTCAAAATTGGGGCTTGCCCTGATGGAAAGGACCGTGGGGACCTCCCCGCTGGGTATCCGTCCTGGGGTGATGACGTCGACCCCTAGCCCCCTGGGGGTGCGCAGCCGCCCCAGAACCTCCACCGGAGGCCCGGGAGCGGCGCCTCCAGTAATCTCCACGGGGGACCTGGGGCTGCACTCTCCCTTGCTGCCTATAGGGCAGCTGCCGACGCTGCGGGGCCGGCGGGGGGATGGCCCA